GAGATTGACCCCAATAAAAGAGTATGAATATTTCAACGAGATCATTTCAAATTTAGAAATTGTGGCAGTAGATAAAAATTGAAACAATTAGACATATCAAAGCATAGGCAGCTGGTAATAGATGGTTCAATAGCAATTAGAAAATTTGTTAATATTACAAATAGTTTTAAAGAATCAAATTTTATAATAAAAGGAATTAAATTTATAAATTGGAATAATAATTACATTTTTTATTTTAATAACCCAAATATAAAAGTTTATTTTGATAACTGCATCTTTGATAATACACAATCATTTTCATATTTCGAGTCTGATAATCAATATAATTCAAAATTAGTATCAGTAAATAATTGTATTTTTAATAATATTCAATCTATATATTTTAAAGTGTATACATACCATTTTATAATAGAAAATTCAATTTTTAGTAATAATATAAACTCTATATTATACGGCGATGGTGATAATATAATAATAAATAAATGTATATTTACAAATAATAAAATAATAAATCAAAAAGAATCAATTCTTTTATTCAATAATAATAATGATGAAAAAATAAAAAATAATTATAGAATAAATATAAATATAAATAATTCTTTATTTTTTAATAACTCAATTACTCGCTTATTGGTTTCTGGTGTTAGAAATAAAATAGTTTTGTCTCAATTCAAATTATCACTAACGAATTGCACAATAAAAAACAATTATATAAATTCATTAAAAGATAACACAAACTATTTTTTTTCATTAGGTTTTTTAAAAGAAAATTGGGAAGTTACATTTTCAGATTCAATCTTAGAGGGAAATAATTTAAATAATAACACAAATGTTGGTTTTATAAGTGTTAACAAGGAATCTAATAGTGGTACAATAATAATGAACCATGTTAACATTACGAAAAATAACCTGTACCCTTTTATATTCACAAACAACTCAATTATTAAAATAATGAATAGTAACATCGAAAACCTAAAAGGTATTCTAAAAGGCAATTTAAATGGTTACAACACAGAAATATTAATAAATAATAATGATATCAATATTTACAACATCAACAATAATAAAGATAGATCAAAGAGCAAAAACAAAATTATAATAATTTTTACCGTGTTACCAATTACAATAATTTTTTTTTTCCTATTATTAGTTTTCAGAAAAAAAACAATATCAATAATAAAAAAAATTCAATACAAATATTCAAATTTAAACGGACCAAATTATAATATTAATAACAATATAGAGATGAATAGTCAATTTGGTCAAGGTGATGATTTAACTGTAAAGAGTGATTCCTCTGTAAAAAAATTAAATGATAATGAATCTGCAGTTTATGATTCAAATTAATAAATTTATAAAAAAATAAAATAAATCAAAATAAAAAAATTAAATGTAAATTTAAATTAAATTTAGAACATTAATATTAAAAAAGATTTATTTTTTTTTTTAATTTTTTTTTTAAAAAAAAGTGTGGTAATTTTACTTTTTTTCTATATATTTTTAAAAAATTCTAAAAATAACTACATTTTTTTTTATATTGATGTGGTTTTGTAAAGTATGTAAACATATAAAAAAATTGAGTGAGAAAAAATTTAATTAATTAAATAATTAATATATTATTTTAATATTGTAAATTTGATAGATATTTTTTTGTTTCTATAGGTTTTTTAATAAATATTATTTTATAAATTAATTTTAACAACCATATGATTTATATTTTTAAATTTTTAAATCATTTTAAATATAATCTCCTCTCAAAAAAAAATATTATATAAATGAATAAAATTATAAATATAATTTTTATTATTTTTTTAATAAAATATAAATTTATTTTTTCACTTGATATACACATAAACTATCAGTCCAATGAAACATATATTAACAGTAATTGTGGGGGTAATATGACATTAGACAATATATACCCACCCTGCATATCATTCAAAGATGCTGGTGATAGAGTTAGAGACTTTATAGATAAAAATAATGCAATAAATAATCTATATATTTTTTTGCACATTAACGAAAATCAAACAGAACTTAAAGATCCAAAATATTTAGGAATAATAAACGGGGTAAATGAAATAAATATTAAAGTAATGGGCATGGTAACAAGTGATGAAAAATTTAAAGCCATTCTAAGTGGGGGAAATAGTGAGAGTTTTTTTCAAAGCGATAGCAGCAAATTAAGCATCTCTATAGAGGGTATTAATTTTGTAAATTGGAATAATCCCTCTTCATTCATATTGGATGCAGGCCAAGAAGAATTCAATGTACAGTTTTTAAATGTAACAGTTATCAACTCTGAAAATATATTTTCATTTAATAAAAATTCAAACAGTTCTTTAATATTAAAAAATACAGTTTTTGATGATATCAAAAAATATTCATTATTCATTTTTTTTAATAGAATTTCAATTGATAATGGTGCTATATAAATAGTAATTTTGAAGGTATATTTGCAAATTTTAATGAACTATTTTCAAGTGATGGGTTAACATTTATCAATAATACTGCAACCTTATTATTTAAAATATATAACCCAAAAAAATCAGTAAAAATAAAAATTTCAAATTTGTTGGTTCAAAAAAATAATATATATACTTTTTTCAATTTTTACAGTAGGTTACCATCAAATATCACTATTTTAAATCTAGATTTTATAGAAAATAATATCAACAACAACAATCTATTTTATCTTGATGGTAGCTTAGATTGTTTATTTGAAAATATGAATTTTTTAAAAATTTCAAATGAAAAGGCAAATAGAATTTTTTATATTTATAAAAAATCTTTGTTGAACCTAGTAAATATAAAATCAAATCTTAATGTAATCAATTTCTTATATATTGGGGACTCCACCATAAACTTTTATAATAGCTCAATTACATCCTATGACTCTACTATTTATGGATGCTCAAATACAATCTCATCATTTTACACAATATTAAAAAAAAATGATACATGTAATAATTATTATAGTTATAGTTCTAATAGTAGCACCAATAGTTTAGAAAAAGTACCAGAATCCAATAGCCAAAGGCATAGAAAAGTTCTAATAATAGCCCCAACGATATCTATATCAATCCTGTTTATAATCATCATAATCTCGGCCATTATTTTTTTAAAAAAAAGACATTTAAAAAAACATAGTGAAAATAAATCAAAAAAAAATGAACATTTTTTTTATGATACCGGTTCAATAGACCAAGAACTTACATTAAATGGCGAAACTTTACCAAATTTTTTAAACGATAATGAAGATGCAAATAATGATAATTAATTATATTGTGAACAAGAAAAAAATTAAAAAAATAAAAAAAAAAAAATATTATTAATTGATTATTTTATTTTATGATCACCCACACATTTTATTTTTCTTTGAGAAAATAAAATACTGGTTTTTAACACACAATAGAACCACTAGTTTTTTTAAATTTTTTTTTTCATATTATAATTTTGTGATCTATAAACTGAATTGGTGATGTATTATAAAGGTGAAAGGTAGTAATATGTAATATTTGTGGGTTAACGACAATTATTTTTTAAAAATCCAAAATATTATAAAATTAAACCAATTTCGAATTATAATTTTAACACTAAATCAAAAAAAAAAAATGAAAAAGGAATTTATTTTTTAAAATCAAAAAAAAACTAAAATTAAAGAAATAGTTCTGCTTTTACAAGTGTAAAAACTAATGTTCTTGAAAATTAGAAAAAAAAAAAAAAAAAAAAAACTATAAAATGAAACAATTTTTTGATTTTATTTTCATTTCAAAATTACAAATAATAATAATAATAAATAATAAAAATCAAATATTTATATAAATTCTATAAAATTAACTAAAATGTCTATTTTTAGTATGTATAATTTATAATTTATTATAAAATCTTTAATGAAAAACAAAATACTAATGTATCATTATAGAAAACCTCATCAATTTAACCTCTGGTGCCAAAAACAAAAACCAATGTTTGCCAATGAATAGTCTTTGTCAAGGAACCCAAATAAACTTTGGAATAAATTCTGTTGCAGATGAAGCAGATAACGATGACTATAAAGGAGGCTCAACAAACCCACCACCAAAAAAAGGAGGTGTTTAATTTTAATTTTTTTTAGTATTCTTTAAAAATGTAAAAATATGTAAAGCAAATTTAAAAATCTAAAAAATTTATTTATTGAAATAATATGTAAAATCATAATAGAATTAATTAAAATGTAAAATAAAAATAAAAAAAATTATATTTTTAAATCACACACCCACAAATTAAAATTTTTTCATTTTTTTTTTTTTTTTTTATTTTAATTATTAAATTTATTTAAAAAAATTTATATTCAAACCGTTTAAAATAGAAATGAATAAATTTAATCATAATTTTAAATAAAATACAATACCCGTTCATTTACATTAATAATAAACCTAAACAAAGCTTAAACTATACAGGTGTAGAGTGTGGTGGCACCAGTTTAGATTTAATCCATATAGATGTAAACCTTCCATGTAAAACTATTCAAGATGCAGGTAATAGAGCAAGAGATACATTATAAAAAATAACATCGATGGAAGTTATAATGTTACATTTATAGTTGTAAATGAAGATAATAATCAAATGATTAGGTAGAACTATCACTTTGGCAGGTTAGAGAACATAGAGGTTATAATAATATCTGTTGTGGATAGAGAATATAGAGTTTACAAATTTGGATATAGTAAAGTACCAAAGGTACAAAAAATTCAGAAATTGATAATGAATTTGAAAATATAAGTATAGCAATATGTGATAATATTACAATAAAAAGTCATTTTCAAAATTAAAAATAGACGATAAAGAATCTGCATCCATTGATTAAAACCAAAAAAATATTTAATAAAACCAAATAATAATTAATTAACAAAAAACCTTTTTTTATTATTTTTGTTTATTTTACATAATTATAATCTAAAAAATAATATTATAGAGATTAACAGTCAATTTGGTCAAGGAGATGATTTAACTGTAAAGAGTGACTGCACTCTAAAAAAATTTGATGATAATAAATTTTATGATTCAAATTAATATAAATATAAAAAATTAATTTAAATTTAGAACATCAATATTAAAAAAAGTTTCATTTTTTTTAAATAAAATTTTCAAATTGCGCAGCCACTCATAATTTTTTTGAAAATTTTATAAATAGCACCTTCTAAAAAAAATGAGACATAGATCTATTTTTTTTTTGAAAATTTTATAAATAGCACCTTCTAAAAAATATGAGACATAGATCTATTTTTTTTTTTGAAAGTTAAATGTTTTTGAACAAATGCATTATATTTTTAGATTTTTAAAAATATAATAAGAAAATTACAAAATTTGGTGACAGAAAATCAATAGAATTAGACACAATTTTTTGTTTTTACAAATTTTATTATATTACACAAAAAAAAACAACATGTTTTATAAATGGCACACAAAAAAATTTTTATTTATAATAACTATAAAATGTGTAGGTTTTTGATTTAATTTTTCATTTCTAAAAAACAAAAAATAAATAATAAAATCAAATAAATTCTAAAATGTCTATTTTTAGTATGTAATTTATTTTTAAAACTTTAATAAAAAACAAAATATTAATATAACTTTATAGAAAACATCATCAATCTAACCTCTGGTGCCAAAAACAAAAACCAATATTTACCAACCAATCTCCTTTTCCAAGGAACCCAAATAAACTTTGGAATAAATGCTGTTACAGATGAAACTGAAAACGGTAACTATAGCAGCGGCTCAACAAACCCACCACTAAAAAAAGGAGGTGTTTAATTTTAATTTACTTCAATATTTTTAAAAATTGTAAAAATATGTAAAGCAAATATAAAAATGAAAAAATCAAAAAAATATATTTATAGGAATAATATGTAAAATCTTAATAGAATTAATTAAAATGTAAAATAAAAATAAAAAAATTATATTTTTAAATCACACACCCACAGATTAAAATTTTTTCAATTTTTTTTTTTATTTTTTTTTTATTTTAATTATTAAATTTATTTAAAAAAATTTATATACAATTTGTTTAAAATAGAAATGAATATATTAATCATTATTTTAATCATATTTTTAAATATAATATATAATACCCATTCATTTACATTAATAATAAACCCTAAACAAAGCTTAAACTATACAGGTGTAGAGTGTGGTGGCACCAGTTTAGATTTAATCCATATAAACGCAAACCCTCCATGTAAAACTATACAGGATGCAGGTAATAGAGCAAGAGATATAATAAAAAATAACATCAATATAAGTTTCAATGTTACATTTTTAATTGTAAATGAAGATAATAATCAAATGATTAGGGAGAACTATCACTTTGGTAGGTTAGAGAACATAGAGGTTATAATAATATCTGTAGTGGATAGTAATTTGGCCAAAAACAATATAAATCCATTAATAATAGATGGAAGTAATTCAAGAAAATCTTTTATTGAATTAGCAAACAATATAACGAACAAACCCAAAATATTTTTAGAGAATATAGAATTTTCAAATTGGAATTGGTACAATTTATTTTATGTAAACGTGTATATAAATGGCTCAATAAATCTTTCATATGTAAAATTTAACCGATCCGATACCATTTTTTATTACCAAAGAGATCCAATTGAACTTTTTCAACTTAATTTTCACAACTGTGTTTTTGAAAACATTGTAAACTTAACATTCATAGTAAATTCAAATAATGCAGAATTCAGAAATACACTTTTTAAAAATAACTCAATCATTGGACCATATCAATGCTTTTTATTTATTCCCGAAACCAATTTAATAATGGATAATATAACCTTTGAAAATAACTATATAGATATCGGAAGTCAGTTTATAACCATTTCAAACAGCTACAATATGTCAAATACCTTTTTTATAAATAATACGTTTTCAAAAGTAATTTTAACGTCAACATCCAAAGAAAAGCTTCTATCCCAATCTACAATATCGAACATAACATTCATTGGCAACACCATTCAACCTTTAAGAAACGATACGATAAGTGCCAGTGTCTTATTTGAATATGTAAAGACTGAACCATTTTCATCAATAACATTTAACAATTTAAAAATAATAAACCAATACAATATAAGCACAAAACAGCCTTTTATTTTATTTGGTATGGAAAATACAAATGGAACAATTAATTTATTCAATGTAGAAATAGAATATTTATTTAAAAGAATTTTAATTTTTTCCGATGATGTAATTATAAATATAAAAAATAGTTTTTTCAATACTTATATGGAAACTTTTTTTGGGGGCAACTATACAATAATAATAAACAATAGTACAATTAACAATACCTATATTTTAACAAATCAGGAGAATCAATTGAATTCAAAAATAAACATTAAAGCAATAATAATTTCAGTTGTTTTGTTTTCATTTATAACCTCACTAATAACAATAATAATAGTTAAAAAGAAAAAAATAATTAAAATAATAAATAAAAAAAATCAAATAAAAAAAAGTAAAAGTACCGAGGATTCAGAAATTGATAACGAGTTTGAAAATAGAAGTATAGCAATATGCGATAATATTACGATAAAAAGCGAATCAGTTTCAAAATTAAAAATAGACGATAGAGAATCTGCAGCAATAGATTAAAACCAAAAAAATATTTAATAAAACTAAATAGTAATAAATTAAAAAAAACCTTTTTTTATTATTTTTGTTTATTTTACATAATTATTTATATTTATTTTTCGTTATAGTTAATTATTTTCTCTTTTTGAATATAACCTTTTTCCTTTAAATAGTTTTGAATAAGTAGGTGGTCATACTTAATAATATCCTCTATATTTTTAATAGTTCTTGTTATAGATAATATATCATATCTACCAATTAAATATTCCACTATTTCAATTCTTTCAGCTATTAATGAATCCTCCAATAAATTTTCCAAAAACTCATCCCTAACTTCGTTATCGCACAGCTCAATAACATTTTCTAACCATTTTAAATCTGATGTTAAAACTATCATTTCGGTCAAATATAAGAAAGAAAGATAATACTGATTGTTGTCAATGATTGCTGATTTGTATTGTTGCTGATTGGCTAAAAGTTTGAATATTCTTTTTAAAGTTACAGTTGGTTGCTGTTGCTGTTTTAATTGAACTAATTGATTTAAAAATAAATCTTTTCTATTTACTTCCAAATAATAACATAAATCTCTTATTATGCTGGCTTCTAAATAATGAGGATGCTTTATACTAAATAATGAGGCTGGTTTGAAAGTGATATCATCTTTTAATAATTCTAAAATTATTTCGTTATCTGTGTTGGTAATGAATTCTAAAGTGAATTTTTTTGGATTTAAAACTAGCCTAATATCGTAACCGTTGGGAACTGAATCTGGTGTTACAGCATATAAAACCATTTCACTATGATAATAACCGTTAACCATATCAAAACCACCATATAGAGCCGAAAAATCAGTTGCGTGAGGATTGCTTTGAAAAATTGGATAGAATAAATAAGGTCTTGACATTACATATTTTATAAGCTTTACAGATTTTAATCTTAGATAGTGAAATGAGTGGAACATGTATGGTTTAACTTCTATTTGATTTTCTTTTATAAGATGTGATACTGATAACAGTTTCTAAAGTTGTATTTTTGCAGCATATCATTCTTTGAAAACAGAAATTTACCATCATTGTTGAAAATGGTTTAAATTCGATACTTCTTTGTGTAAACTGTTGGCTCCAAAACTCTATGGATCTACAATAATAATCGATTCCAAAATTAAAGTAATAGCAGTCATTGTCAAATTGGATTTTTTCATCTATTGTAAATATTACATCCACGCAGTACTCTATTTTTGATTCGATATCTGAACAATATATAAACATACTCGAATATCTATTTAAGAGGAATGTAAAAACTTTTTCAAAATATAAGGTGCTGAATTTATATGAATATATATTACAAATTAATACTCTAAATAAAATTGATTGTACTATATCTGATACATTTTCTTCAATTTGGATTTGCTCTAGTTCATCAAATGAAAACCTTTCTATTACTTTGAGAATTAAAAAAATATTGGTATTTAAATTGGAAGTTGAAACCAAATATTCTAAAAGTGCATTAACCTTGTCAACTGTAATATCTTTGCCAAATGAGTAGGCCCAGGTGAAATTGAGATATAATGGGTTCAATAATTTTATTTTATTTATTGTTTGTAAATCACACTTTATAATTGATTTTTCAAATAATTTTGAAAAAATTTGTGATTCTAATCCCAGGTTTGATATATGAGGATATAATTTTGAAAGAGCATTAAGTGCGTAATCTCCAAGTTCATACGTTTCAAAATCAAGATAGGAGACGCCTTTTTTAAGAAACATCTTTTGTTCTTTTTCTTCTTCGATAAATTCATCGATCTCTTTGAAAGAGGAAAAAGTGATATTGTTTAAATCTGAATACTTTCTTTCGACACATTCTTCTTGGGGTGAAACTTGAACCGGCTTGTATTCGTTATTTTTATTATCATTATTATATCTTATTATGTGGGGATATATTAATTCTAGTAACTCTGGGTCATTTGATATTTCTACTATCTTTTTAATGGTATCAAGATTGTTTATAGATTTATTACATTGTTTATAATATTTTAAAACTGTTTTTAAAAATATTTGATTACTATTATTAATTGCATTTCCTAATGATTCTTGTGTAAAATTTAGTGAAGGTATTGGTAGATTTATTAAAATACTGAATATCGTTGGAGCTTCGGAATATATTTGAACTATATCATTTTTAATCAACTCTTTATGAACTATGTTATTACTATATATTGCCTCTAATAAATTATTTATACAGTAGCTATTGTTATTATTATTTTGGTGATTTTCTTCGAGTTTACAAAATAAATTTTTAAGTGAGCAGGTTGAATTTATTATTGAGATGAATTCCTTTGCCTCCAATTTACATTTTAACAATGCGATTTGATTATTATCTACCATCCAATCTAATGAATGTATATGTTTAAATCTAATTCTATTTTTTATATTATAATCATCATAATTAAAATAACTGAACCATTCATTGATATAAATTTGGTTCAATATTTTAGATAAAATATATCTATTATGAAAAACTTTCCAAAATAAACTTTCAAAATAAATATCATTATTTTCTTTCATTTATTTATTACTTTATTTATTTTTAATTATTATTTATTTCAATATATTTTTTGTTAAATTTTAAAAAAAAAATCTTATTTTTGTTAAATTTTAAAAAAAAAGAAAAAAAATGAAAAATTTAAAAAAAATAAAAAAATAAAAATTTTTTTTTTCGCTCCAAACATATTAGACAAACTTAATTTGTTCTTTGAATTTTTGGAGCTTTGAATTTTCAGATTATTATTATATTAAATGTTGGTTGGGTACAAACAGACATTTGTAAATAAAACCAAGATTTGAAGTAATTGTATGTTCCATCTGGAAATAATCTTAGGAAGTTGCCAATAAAAAAATTCTAAATTGGTGGCCATAGATCTTCCATTTGAGACCTTTGCTTTTAACCCGATATAAAAACCTTTTAATTACATAAAATGTCGATAATATGTGAATGTGGAATTGTTTCAACTAATTTTTTAATTTTTTTATAATCTATTATTTAAATTACTGATGGATAATATGTGATATATTGTAATTATATTTGCATTATTTTCAGTTTCTTAAAATTTATAATGATAAAAAAATTAAAAAAAAGAGATAAATTTAATTTTATTTTTTTTACCCCTATTTCCCACACTTTTTTTATTATCATTATTAATTGTTTTTGGGCTGTGACAATATTAATTAAAAAAAAACCATACAAACAAATCAATATATAACACATATCTAATATTTGACCAATTTGTTTATCAGAGTATAATTTAAAGAGAATAAGACGATTTCGATCAGTACTCAACTGGGATATTTTATAAATACATAAATTTGGATATTATTTATTATAAATAAATTAGTTTATAATATTACTCATCGAAATTGAAAGGTTTGTAGTACTACTATTATTTAAACTACTAAAACTTAAACTATTACCATATGGTAGTTGTGATTGTGATTGTGATTGAGATATTTGGAATTGTGATTGTGGCTGAAATTCATAATTTTCTTGAATATCGATAATATTAATATTATTGACTAGTTGCGGGTTTTCTATGGCTGGAAAAGTAATTAATAAATACATGACCTTGGTAGTATGGTATGGGAAGCCTCTTTCGTCAAACTCTAATGATTTTAAAAACTCTTTATTGACATTAAATTCTAAATTAAATGGATCCACCGGTGTATAAATAATTTCACTTTCTAAACCCCAAGTAACCTCTCTGTCTTTAAAATATTTATTAACACTTCTTAATTCTTCAATTATTTTTTCTTCAATCTTTTTAAGTTAATAATAAAAAATCAAATTAGTAATAAATAATGAAATCAATAATAAAAATATCTTTGTTATACTTACTACACCATGGAAAAATAATATATTTATTAATAAGGAAAGACTACTGACTGAAGTGATGACAACGCCAAACCATAATAAATAGCTTCCCATTCCCCCAATCATAACTAAAATCCCTATAAAAATTGGTATTAAAAATATGAAAAATGTACCAGGAATTTTGGATGATATTTTGCTATTGAGTGTTGTGACGGTTTCATTGAATTCGTGTGTGTCTATTATACCAAAAAGATTTTGGGGATACTCTAATTCGAATGTACAATTTTTAAAAAAACAACCATTGTCTATATATGATTGTACTTTGGCACTGTTCATTATTTTTCATAATTATGAAATGTAATTAAAAAAGTAAAAAAAAATAAAAAAAAAGTAAAATAAACAGAAAAAAATAAAAAAAATAAAATAAAAAAAAAATTAAAATAATTATTAAAAATTTATTTTTTTTGTTTAAACTTTTTTTACCAGAGAAAACGGAACATATTTTTAAATTATAAAAATCCAAAATAAAAAAAATTTCCGTTTGCAATGCACAAAAAAAATCTTTGGATAGTAAAAATATTTTTTTTTAGTTTTTTTTTATTATTAATTGATTAAATAATGTGTTTTAACCAATTTCTATAATTAATTAATTTTTTTTGTTTTTATCCCAATATTTCAATTGATGATCTTAAATATTGTTAATTTGATTATTAATATTATAAAAAAAAAAGATTAAATTAAATTAATTATTATTAGTCCATTTTATAATAGATTATATAAACCTGCATTCTTGATAAACTGATTGTGCAGACATTGTGACAAAAATTTTGGTTTTTACTTCACAACCTTTTTTTAAATAATCATTATATAGCTATTTAGTTTTGCATTATTTATTTGCTGTTATTAAGAAATAAAAAATAATAAGAAATTAAAATAAATTATTCTGTTTTTTTTTTGAATATTGTTTGAATAAAAACAAAAAAATTTTCAAATTTTTTAATTTCGACCCAAAAATTTTAATTTCGACCCAAATTTATAATTGTTTTTTTTATTAAAATAATTTAAAATTATTCTAAAAATAAATTTAAATAAAGTAAAATAATATCTTATCAAATATAATAAATGAAAATATAACTATAGACAAATATATTACAAATTTGTTTGATATAAATAAAATATTTATGTCCATATTTTTTTTTTTTTTTAATTTCATTGAAACAAGATAAAAAAAAAAAAATTAATTTTTTTAATTTTTTTAATTTTTTTTTTATTTTTTTTTAATTTTTATTTTTTTTTAATTTTTTCTTCATCATTTTTTATATTTTAGTTTTTATTTTTATTTTCAAATTGTTTAGTTTATTGTAAATTATATTGTATTTATATAATTAATATCTTTTTTTTTTTTTTTTATATATCTTTATTTTTATTCTTGATTAAAACAAGAAAAAAACAGCAACACAAAAAAAAAAAAAAAAAAATGGAGGATCAACAACAAGTTGATTCTACACCAGGTGCAAATTCACCACCAGCTAATACAAATACAATAAATGAAACTGTATTAGAAGAGACAATCAAATATCTCTTAAAAATTTGTCCAACTTTATTAGATGGCGATTCAAATACTTTTCAAAATAATCTTATTCATCAAATCCCACCAGAAAATATGAATAAATTGAAGAAATTTATTTCAGATTCAAAGATTCCAGTATTACTTATTCAAAAAACCGTTTCATCAGATGAACAACCAAATCCATCACAACCACAACAAACTTCACAACCACAACAATCAAAAGGTAAATATAATTTATAAAACTTCAACTATACTATAGTATTATAATACTAATTTTATAATTTTTAATTATAGAATCATTTAGTTTTGAAATTGAAGTAAAGTTTAATGGTGAAAATAAATCAACATTAGCCCTCGTTAAAAGAAATCCAGAGACTGTTATCGAATTTAGTAATAATAAATCTATTGCATCACAATTACAAGTATTAAATTTAGGAGAAGGTTCACCATTTGATACACTTCACAATATTATTCATAGTTCAGTAGCTCCATATGTTAGATCCTATATTTTATCATCATCAAAGGACGAACAAACAACCAGCGGTTCATCAAATTCATCATTATCAAACATGGATAAAGAATTAAAATTATCTATTGGTGCAGTTAATCAAAAGATTGCTGAATTGGAAATTTCCTTATACAATTGTAAACAACAAGTTCAAATTCCAGAGGTTGTTTTAGTCATCAATCCAGAGGTTAGAGCTATTTCAAAAAAAGTAAAAGAAACTCAAAACAGAGCCATCAAAGTCGATGATCTTGGTGAAAAAGCTCAATTACCAGAGTTTTTAAATGTTTTACAAGCCGGTACTACTATTTGGGCAAGAAACATTCAAAATGTCACCAAACATAATTTAATCGAAAATCTCCCAGGTGATGTCACTACAAGCCAAGAAATTAATTTCTGGATTGAATTAGAAACCTCTCTTTCCAATATTTCAGAGCAATTAAAGAGTCCAGAAGTCGAAGTCACTTTATCCACTTTGAAACAAGCCAAACGTTTCATTGCTAGTGCTCCATTCGAAACTGATACCATTGGTATTCGTAAAGCCATGGAAAAAGTTCAAACCTACAAGATTCTTTTCAAAGATTTCCCAATCACTCCATTATTAACTTCGACCGACCTCGAATCTGTTTCAACCAGCATCGCTTCAATCTTTTCACACTTAAAGAAAACTAAAAATCCATATTACCCAATTCCACGTTATCTTTCATTGCTCGAAGCTATTGGTCGTGATATGTGTAACAAAGTTTACCAAATTCTCCGTCAAAAGAATCTTATGAATATCGATTACAGCGACTTTGAACATCTTTCACGTGCTGTCAAAGCTTTATTTACTTTATGGGATGACCAATTCTCTATCTTTAGAGATATTCTTCGTGATTTAGCAAAGAAGAAAGGACAAGATCGTACACCATTAATTGTCAACATTGATACTAAAATTCAATTAGTCATCATCAAAATTGGTAAATTCAGAAAACAACACGAAGACTTAAAGAATGTTGTTTCAAATGTTTTACCACAATCAATGTCAGTAAATCCAGCTACTGGTTCACCATCAAATAAAACTTCAGAAATCAATGCAGTTGAAGAGATTAACCAAGCTTACTCTGAATTTAAAGAAATCGATGTTCTTCAATTATCAAAAGAGGGTGAAGAAATTTGGGATGCTGCTGTCAAACGTTATAACGCTCGTACCGATAGAGTTGAAACTTATATTACTGTTAGATTACGTGATCGTTTAGCAACTGCCAAAAATGCAAATGAAATGTTTAGAGTTTATCAAAAATTCAAAGATTTATTAAAAAGACCAAAGGTTTGTTTAATTGATATTAATAATTCATCAATTATTGTAATTTATATTAATAATTTCTTTTTTTCTTTTACAGATTAGAGGTGCAACTCACGAATATGAATCACAATTAATTGAACGTGTTAAAGAAGATATTAGAGTTTTACATGAAAAATTCAAAATGCAATATAATAACTCCGAAGCTTATTATATGAGTCAGTTAAGAGATTTACCACCAGTTTCAGGTGCAATCATTTGGGCAAGACAAATCGAAAGACAATTGGATACCTATATGAAACGTGTAGCTAATGTATTAGGTGACAGTTGGGAAAGTGATGCTGAAGGTCAAAAATTAAAAGCTGAATCAGATCAATTTAGACATAAATTAAATACAGACCATATTTTCCAAAAATGGGCTGAAGAAACTGAAAAGCGTTCATTCGATATTAGTGGTCGTATTTTAGCTATTGTAAAGAAAGGTAACAAATTGGCATTAGATATCAATTTCGATAGTCACATTATCATGTTATTCAAAGAGGTTAGAAATCTTCAATGGTTAGGTTTCCGTGTTCCATTAAAAATCACTTTTATTTCACAAGGTGCCAAACAAGTATATCCATTCGCTGTATCACTCAAAGAAACCCTCCGTACTTTTTCACAAACCTCAGGTAAGATTACACCAGAGTTTTCAACATTGGTTGCTAGTTATAAACGTGATGTTCAAGGTCATCTTAACGAAGGTTTCCGTTTGAAATGGGAAGCAATTCCAAAAGTTGACCCATACGTTCGTAAGCTTTCAACTTCAGTAAACAATTTCCGTGATAAGGTTGATGATCTTATCGTCAAATATGATGAAATCAAAAAACAAATGGATCAACTTAAAAACTGTCCATTCAAACCAGAAGCCTTTAATGAAATCATTGCAAATATTCAAAAGGTTGTTGATGAACTCAATTTAGCAAACTATTCAAATCTTCCACAATGGGTTGCTCAATTAGATACTGGTGTTGAATCAATGTTAATTGAAAGATTAATTGATGCTATCAACTCATGGGTTCACTTAATCGAAGGTAAAGAGGATCAAAAAGATTCAGAATCACACGGTAGAATGGCCTATGGTTCAAGAAATAGAGAAAAAGCTAACGATGCCGATGCTACCGCTGCTTCAGTTGCTGCTAACCCATCTCAAATCAAACCAACCCTCAAAAAATCAGTACATGAAGTTGTTATTAGAAATCAAACTCTTAATTTAGATCCACCACTTGAATATGCTCGTGCTGATTGGATCGGTCAATTACATTCATGGTTAAATATCGTATGTGATCTCCCAAGAATTCAAGCATCACGTTATGATGATTCCGCTATGATCCATCGTGGTGAAGGCAATAAAAAACAATCAACCTTCCGTGATATGTTACCAAAACTCCCAGCTGGTTCATTAGAAAAAGCTTACTCTGCTATCTCCAACAAGTTAGACCAAGTTGGTGAATATGTTCAAATATGGCTCCAATATCAATCACTTTGGGATATGGATTCTTCTTTCGTTTATTCTAAATTAGGTGATGATTTAAACAAATGGCAATTACTTTTAAATCAAATTAAGAAATCAAGAAATACCTTTGACACTACTCTAACTGAAAAACAATTTGGTCCACTTACCATCGACTACGAGCAAGTTCAAGAATCAGTCAGAAACAAATACGACTTTTGGCACAAGGATATTCTTTCACACTTTGCCTCTAAGGTATCAGAAAAAATGCGTCAATTCTTTGAAACTATTAAATCATCACGTGCAGAATTAGAAAAACTTACAGTCGAAACCGTTTCAACTGAAGAAGCTGTATTCTTTGTTATTCAAATTCAAGATATTAAAAAGAAAATGTCTGTATGGGAAGGTGATTTACGTTACTATCGTTCGGGTCAAGATTTATTACAACGTCAACGTTTCCAATTCCCATCCGATTGGTTAGATTGCGATATGATCGAAGCAGAGTGGGGCGCCCTTACCGATATTCTCAATCGTAGAAATAACCAAATTTCAGAAGCCATTCCACAATTACAACAAAAAGTCCTCGAAGAAAGCAAGTTAATCAACGAACGTATTAAATTATTTGTTGATGATTGGAATACTAATAAACCAGTTGGTGGTAATGTTAAACATTCAGTTGCATTAGAATCAATTAAAATCTATGAAGGTCGTTTAACTCGTCTTCGTGAAGAAAGTGATCGTTTATCCAAAGCTAAATCGGCCTTAGATTTAGATTCTCAAGGCCAATCAGATCAAGATCGTCTTGTTCCAGTCGAAGAAGAAATTCAAGATCTCAAACAAGTTTGGGCTGAAATTTCAACTGCTTGGGTCGAAATTGATGTATTGAAAGAAACTGCATGGTCCGCTATTATTCCAAGAAAGGTTAGAAAAACTCTTGAAGATACTCTCAATAAATTGAAGAATCTTCCAAATCGTATCCGTACCTATAGTGCTTTTGAAAATGCTCAAGCTTTAATCAAAGTTTACCTCAAAGGTAATGCCATTATCACTGATCTCCACAGTGAAGCCATCAAAGACCGTCATTGGAAGGTATTAAAGAAACGTTTAAATACCAATTGGATCTTAACAGAATTAACTTTAGGTCAAATTTGGGATTCTGATTTAGGTAGAAATGAAAATATTTATCGTGAAGTCATTACAACAGCTCAAGGTGAAATTGCTCTCGAAGAGTTCCTTAAACAAGTCAAAGATTATTGGACTACTTTAGAATTAGATTTAGTCAATTATCAAAGAAAATGCAAATTGGTTCGTGGTTGGGATGATCTTTTCAGTAAATTAGCAGAACACTTAAATTCAATCGCCGCTATGAAAATGTCGCCATACTACAAAACATTCGAAGAGGAAGCTAAAACATGGGATGACAAATTGAATCGTATTCGTTCACTTTTAGATGTTTGGATCGATGTACAAAGACGTTGGGTCTATTTAGAAGGTATTTTCAGTGGTAGTGGTGATATTAACCAATTATTGCCAACTGAATCCACTCGTTTCAAGAGTATCAATAGTGAATTTATTGCTATTCTCAAAAAGGTCAGTCAAGCTCCATTAATTTTAGAGGTTTTAGAAATTGAACGTATTCAAAATACTATGGAACGTCTCTCTGATCTCCTTGGTAAAGTTCAAAAGGCATTAGGTGAATACTTAGAAAGACAAAGATCTGCTTTTGCTCGTTTCTATTTCGTTGGTGATGAAGATCTTTTAGAAATTATTGGTAACAGTAAAGATATTATCAAGATCCAAAAACACTTTAGAAAAATGTTTGCTGGTCTTTCAAATGTAACCTTAGACGACGAAAAGACCACTATTCTTGGTATGTCCTCAGCCGAAGGTGAAATGGTTACTTTCAAGAAACCAATATCTATCGCCAATGCTCCAAAGATCCACGAATGGTTAACAATGGTCGAAACTGAAATGAAGAGTACTTTAGCTATCCTTTTAGGTGAATCATTACAACACTATCAACAAATGACACCAGGTGATCATTCTAAATATGCCGAATGGGTCGATCTTTTCCCAACTCAATTAGTTTTATTAACATCACAAATTGTTTGGTCCACTAACGTCGATCAAGCTCTTTCAGGTGCCAAGATCTCCGAATCCTTACAAAATATCGAACAATCCACTCAAACAATTTTAAATAATTTAGCCGATAATGTTTTACAAGATTTAACTGCTCAAAAGAGAAAGAAATTCGAACATTTAATCACCGAATTAGTACACCAAAGAGATGTTTGCAGACAATTGCTCAAGACCAAGATTAGCAGCAACAAAGATTTCGATTGGTTATACCACATGCGTTACTATTACGATAATACTCAAGAAAATCCATTACATAAATTAAATATTCATATGGCCAACGCTCAATTCTATTATGGTTTCGAATATTTAGGTATTGGTGAACGTTTAGTCCAAACTCCATTAACTGATCGTTGTTATTTAACTCTTACACAAGCTTTAGAATCAAGAATGGGTGGTAATCCATTTGGTCCAGCCGGTACCGGTAAAACTGAAACTGTTAAAGCTCTTGGTAATCAATTAGGTCGTTTCGTATTAGTTTTCTGTTGCGATGAAGGTTTTGATCTTCAAGCTATGAGTCGTATTTTTGTTGGTCTTTGTCAATGTGGTGCTTGGGGTTGTTTCGATGAATTCAATCGTTTAGAAGAAAGAATTTTATCTGCAGTATCACAACAAATTCAAACCATTCAAGTTGCCCTCAAAGAAAAAGCTAAAGAAGTTGAACTTTTAGGTAAAAATGTTTTAATTCACCAAGATATGGGTATCTTTGTCACTATGAATCCAGGTTACGCTGGTCGTTCTAATTTACCAGATAATTTGAAGAAATTATTCCGTTCTATGGCTATGATTCGTCCAGATCGTGAAATGATTGCTCAAGTTATGCTTTATTCACAAGGTTTCAAGACTGCTGAGGTTTTAGCAGGTAAGATTGTTCCACTCTTTAAATTATGCTCAGAACAATTAAGCGCTCAATCTCATTACGATTTTGGTCTTCGTGCTCTTAAATCTGTATTAAATAGTGCTGGTGGTATCAAGAGAAAATGTGTTCCACCACAACTTCCACCAGTTACCGATGCTGAGTCAAAACAAAAAGCTGATCAAATCTACAGTAGCTATGAAATTGGTGTACTCCTCAACTCTATTAACGATACTATGATTCCAAAATTAGTTGCCGACGATATTCCATTAATTCAATCATTATTATTAGATGTATTCCCAGGTTCACAATTGCAACCAATTGCTATGGACACTCTTCGTGAAAAGATCCAAGAGATTGCCAAACAAAGATATCTCGTTTCAAAAGCAGAATGGGTCGAAAAGATTTTACAACTTCATCAAATTTTAAGTATCAATCACGGTGTTATGATGGTAGGTCCAAGTGGTGCAGGTAAAACAGCCGCATGGGAGGTTTATTTAGAAGCCGTCGAAGCCGTTGACAACATTAAATCCGAAGCTCATGTTATGGATCCAAAAGCCATCACTAAAGATCAATTATTTGGTTCATTAGATTTAACCACTCGTGAATGGACTGATGGTCTTTTCACTGCTACTCTTCGTCGTATCATCGATAATGTTCGTGGTGAATCAACTAAACGTCATTGGATTATTTTCGATGGTGATGTTGATCCAGAATGGGTAGAAAATTTAAATTCACTTTTAGATGATAATAAACTTTTAACTCTTCCAAATGGTGAACGTTTAGCTCTTCCAAATAATGTTAGAATTATGTTCGAAGTACAAGATCTTAAATATGCCACCTTAGCTACTATTTCTCGTTGTGGTATGGTTTGGTTCTCTGAAGAAATCTTAACAACTCAAATGATCTTCCAAAACTATCTTGACACACTTTCTCACGAACCATTTGATCAACAAGAAAAAGAACAACAAAAGAGAAACGAAAACGCTCAATTACAACAACAAACTTCAAGTGTCACTTCACCAACCATTACCTCACCAACTGCCACCCCATCCACTAGCTCTGCAAGAACTACCGTCATTACTCCAGGTCTCAAAGTTCAAAAAGAATGCGCTGCAATTATTACTCCATACTTTGAAGCAGGTGGTTTAGTACAAAAAGTACTCGAAGATGCTGGCCAAAGAGTTCATATTATGGATTTCACAAGACTTCGTGCATTAAATTCATTCTTTTCAATTATCAATCGTTCAATTAGTAACATTATTGAATACAACCAATTACATTCAGATTTCCCAATGAGCAGTGAAAACTTAACCAATTATATTACCAACCGTTTACTTTATTCATTAATGTGGGGTTTCGGTGGTTCAATGGGTCTTTCAGAAAGAGAAAACTTTTCTAAATTCATTCAATCAATTTCAATTACACCAGTTCCACCACCAACTATTCCATTATTAGATTATTCTGTATCATTAGAAGATGCCAACTGGTCATTATGGAAGAATAAAGTTCCATCAGTTGAAGTTGAAACTCATAAAGTTGCTTCACCAGATGTCGTTATTCCAACTGTTGATACCACACGTCACGTTGATGTTCTCCATGCTTGGTTATCCGAACATCGTCCATTAATTTTATGTGGTCCACCAGGTTCCGGTAAAACTATGACATTAACTTCAACTCTTCGTGCCTTCCCAGACTATGAAGTTGTTTCACTCAATTTCAGTAGTGCCACTACACCAGAACTTTTATTAAAGACATTCGATCACCACTGTGAATATAAACGTACTCCATCAGGTGAAACTGTATTACGTCCAACTCAACTTGGTAAATGGTTAGTAGTATTCTGTGATGAAATCAATCTTCCATCCAACGACAAATATGGCACCCAAAGAGTCATTACATTTATCCGTCAACTTGTTGAAAAAGGTGGTTTCTGGAGAACTAGCGATCACACTTGGATCAAATTAGAAAAGATTCAATTTGTAGGTGCTTGTAATCCACCAACTGATGCTGGTCGTGTTCAACTTACTCACCGTTTCCTTCGTCATGCTCCAATCCTTTTAGTCGATTTCCCATCAACCTCTTCATTAACTCAAATTTATGGTACTTTCAACAGAGCTCTTATGAAATTATTACCAAATCTTCGTTCATTTGCCGATAATCTTACCGATGCAATGGTTGAATTTTATAGCGAATCCCAAAAACGTTTCACTCCAGATATTCAAGCTCATTATATTTATTCACCACGTGAACTTTCACGTTGGGATCGTGCTCTTTTAGAAGCTATTCAAACTATGGAAGGTTGCACATTAGATGGTTTAGTACGTTTATGGGCTCATGAAGGTCTTCGTTTATTCCAAGATCGTTTAGTTGAAGCCGATGAAAAAGAATGGACTGACAAGAAAATTGATGAAGTTGCTCTTAAACACTTCCCATCAGTTAATTTAGATGGTAATTATATAATATTATATTTTTTTACTATTAAAAAATAATTTATTAATTTTCTTTTTTTATTTTTATTAAAAATTTAGCATTAAAACGTCCAATTCTTTATAGTAATTGGTTAACAAAAGATTACCAACCAGTCGAACGTAATGAACTTCGTGAATATGTTAAGGCTAGATTAAAGGTATTCTATGAAGAAGAACTTGATGTTCCATTAGTACTTTTCAACGAAGTATTAGATCATATTCTTCGTATTGATCGTGTTTTCCGTCAACCACAAGGTCATGCATTATTAATTGGTGTTTCAGGTGGTGGTAAATCAGTATTGTCACGTTTCGTTGCTTGGATGAATGGTCTTTCAATTTATACCATTAAAGTAAATAACAATTATAAATCAACTGATTTCGATGACGATCTTCGTATGTTATTAAAACGTGCTGGTTGTAAAGAAGAAAAACTCTGTTTCATTTTCGATGAATCCAATGTTTTAGAATCATCTTTCCTCGAACGTATGAATACTCTTTTAGCTAGTGGTGAAGTTCCAGGTCTTTTCGAAGGTGAAGAATACACTGCTTTAATGCATGGTATCAAAGAAACTGCCCAAAGAAATAGTTTAATTATGGATACCGAAGAAGAACTTTATCGTTACTTTACTGGTTTAGTCAGAAGAAATCTTCATGTTGTTTTCACAATGAATCCATCTTCACCAGATTTCCACAATCGTTCAGCCACCTCACCAGCTCTTTTCAATCGTTGCGTTTTAGATTGGTTTGGTGAATGGTCACCAGAAGCTCTTTTCCAAGTTGGTTCAGAATTTACTAGAAATCTTGATTTAGAAAACCCACAATACATGGCACCAGGTGTATTCATCGAAGAAGCTGATCATATGGGTAATCAATTAATGTCAATGCCACCATCACACAGAGATGCCGTTGTTAGTTCATTAGTTTACATTCATCAAACTATTGGTGAAGCTAATGTTCGTTTATTAAAACGTCAAGGTCGTCAAAATTATGTCACTCCACGTCATTATTTAGATTTCATTAATCAAGTAGTATTATTAATCAATGAAAAGAGAGATCAATTAGAGGAAGACCAATTACATTTAAATATTGGTCTCAAGAAACTTCGTGACACCGAACAACAAGTTCAATCCCTTCAAGTTAGTCTTTCACAAAAGAATCGTGAATTAGAAATTAAGAATGATCAAGCCAATAAGAAATTAGCTCAAATGGTACAAGATCAACAAATTGCAGAACAAAAACAAAAAGAAGCCCTTGAATTACAAAAGATTCTTGATGTTAGAAATAAAGAAATTGAAGTTCAAAAAGCTAAGGCATACTCAGATCTTGAAAAAGCTGAACCAGCAATTCTCGAAGCCCAAGAAGCTGTATCTACAATTAAAAAGAAACATTTAGATGAAATTAAAGCACTTCCAAATCCACCAGCTTCAGTTAAATTAGCCATGGAATCAGTTTGTCTTATGTTAACTGGAAGAAAATTAGAATGGGCTGAAATTAGAAAGAAAATTATGGAAACTACATTCATCACTTCAATTGTTAATTATGATACCAAAAAGAATTTAACCAGTAAAACAAGAGAAGCCATTATGAAAGGTTATCTTAACGACCCAGACTTTGAATATGAAAAAGTTAATCGTGCTTCAAAAGCTTGTGGTCCATTAGTTAAATGGGTTCAAGCTCAAACCTTCTATTCAGATATCTTAGATCGTATTAAACCATTAAGAGAAGAAGTCGAGAAATTAGAAAGCGCAGCCGTCGAATTAAAGACCAAACAAGATGAGGTTGTCTCCTCCATTCAAGATTTAGAAAAATCAATTGCCACCTACAAGGATGAATATGCCACTTTAATTCGTGATACCGAATTAATCAAAACAGAAATGAACAAAGTTAAGAATAAGGTTGAACGTTCTATTGCTCTCTTAGATAACCTTAACAGTGAACGTGGTAGATGGGAACAACAAAGTGAAAACTTTAATGTTCAAATGTCAACTGTTGTTGGTGATGTTTTATTATCATCAGCTTTCCTTGCCTATATTGGTTTCTTTGACCAAACCTTCCGTCAAGATCTCTTAAAGAAATGGATGGTTCGTTTAGAAACTGTTGGTATTAAATTCAAACCAGATCTTTCAATCCCAGATTTCTTATCAAGACCAGAAGAACGTCTCGGATGGCACGCAAACTCATTACCATCTGACGAATTATGTGTTGAAAATGCTATTATGCTCAAGAGATTTAATAGATATCCATTGGTTATCGATCCATCAGGTCAAGCCATGGAATTCCTCATGAACCAATATGCCGATAAAAAGATTACCAAAACATCTTTCTTGGATTCATCATTTATGAAGAATTTAGAATCATCACTTAGATTTGGTAACCCACTTTTAGTTCAAGATGTCGAAAATATCGATCCAGTATTAAATCCAGTATTAAATAAAGAAATTAGAAAGAAGGGTGGTCGTGTTTTAATTCGTTTAGGTGATCAAGATGTCGATTTCTCACCATCATTCATGATTTTCTTATTTACTCGTGATCCAACCGCTCACTTTACACCAGATCTTTGCTCTCGTGTTACCTTTGTCAATTTCACTGTTACTCCATCATCACTTCAAAGTCAATGTCTTCACGAAGCCCTCAAGACTGAACGTCCAGAAGTACACAAAAAACGTTCTGATCTCCTCAAAGTTCAAGGTGAGTTCCAAGTTAAACTTAGAACTCTCGAAAAATCACTTCTTGATGCTCTTAACCAAGCATCAGGTAATATTTTAGATGATGATTCAGTTATCGCTACTCTCGAAACCCTCAAGAAAGAAACTGCTGAAGTAGCTTTAAAAGTTGCCGAAACCGAAACCATTATGCAAGAAATTAGTGAAGTTTCAGCTCTCTACAATCCAATGTCTTTAGCTTGTTCACGTGTTTACTTTGCCATGGAAGAATTATCACAATTCCATCTCTACCAATTCTCATTACGTTCATTTTTAGATATTTTCCATAACCTCCTCAATAATAATCCAAATCTTGCTGACAAGAAAGATCCAAGTGAAAGATTGGTTTACTTAAGCAAAGATATCTTTAGTATGGCATTCAATCGTGTATCAAGAACCCTCTTAAATGATGATAAATTAACATTTGCAATTCAACTTGCCATCATTGCTACTAAGGGTGGTGCTGATGAAATCGATGAAAATGAATACGACTTTTTCTTAAAAGGTGGTGATAATCTCAGCTCAATTAAAGATACCTTACCACAATTAGATTCAATCCTCAATCAAAATCAACAAAAATGGTTAGTTTGTCTCAAATCACAAGTTCCATCCTTCTCTAAATTAACTGATCACATTCAACAACACTCTGGTGAATGGAAACAATTCTTTGATCCATCAGTTACCGATCCACAAATCCCAGAATCATGGACCCAAACCCAATGTGAAGTTACCAATACTCGTTCAAATACCGTTACCAACTTTAGAAATATTCTTTTAATGAAAGCATTCCATAGTGATAAAGTTTTATTATTCGCCAATCATTTTGTAACATCAGTATTTGGTGAACACTTCTTAAGTGTAAATCAAGATCTCGATATGGCTCAAATCGTCGAAAAAGAAGTTAAAGCCTCATCACCACTTTTACTTTGTTCAGTACCAGGTTACGATGCTTCAAGCAAAGTTGATGATTTAGCTGTTCAATTACGTAAACAATATAAAGCATTTGCTATTGGTTCCCCAGAAGGTTTTGAATTAGCTGAAAAATCAATTTATGCCGCAGCCAAAGCAGGTACATGGGTATTATTAAAGAATATTCATTTAGCTCCACAATGGTTAATTCAATTAGAAAAGAAACTTCACTCTCTTTCACCACATCCAAACTATCGTTTATTCATGACATCTGAAATTCATCCAGCTCTTCCAGCCAATCTTTTAAGAATGTCAAATGTATTCTCTTATGAAAATCCACCAGGTGTTAAAGCTAATCTTTTACATACATTCAATGGTATTCCAGCTACCCGTATGGATAGACAACCAGTTGAACGTTCACGTATCTATTTCTTATTAGCTTGGTTCCATGCCATCATCCAAGAAAGACTTCGTTATATCCCATTAGGTTGGACTAAATTCTTTGAATTTAATGATGCCGATTTAAGAGGTGCTTTGGATTCAATTGATTATTGGATTGATCTTTACAGTAAAGGAAGAACCAATATCGATCCAGATAAAATCCCATGGGTTGCTGTTAGAACTATTTTAGGTTCAACTATTTATGGTGGTAGAATTGATAATGAATTTGATATGCGTCTCTTAAATTCATTCCTCGAACAACTTTTCACACCAAGCGCATTCAATCAAGATTTCCCATTAGTTCCATCAATTGGTTTATCAGTTCCAGAAGGTACCACCAGAGCTCACTTTATGAAATGGATCGAATCTCTTCCAGATGTTTCAACTCCAATTTGGTTAGGTTTACCAGAAAATGCAGAATCACTTTTACTCTCAAATAAAGCCAGAAAGATGATCAACGATCTTCAAAAGATGCAATCCTCAATGGAAGATGATTCTGATGAAAGTGATGATAAATCTAAACAAACCGAAGATAAACCAAAAGCTAAATTAAGAGCCACCATCACCGAATGGAGCAAACATTTACCAAAACCATTGAAACAATTAAAGAGAACTGCTCAAAACATTAAAGATCCATTATTCCGTTGTTTCGAAAGAGAAATTTCTACTGGTGCTAAATTAATTAAAAAGATTACCAACGACTTTGCTGAAATTTTAGAATTACTCTCCGGTAATATCAAATCCACCAATTACCTTCGTTCACTTGTCAATAGTATCACCAAAGGTATTGTTCCAAAAGAATGGAGATGGTATTCAGTCCCAGATTCAATTAGTTTATCACTTTGGATGTCTGATTTCTTCAAGAGAATGCAACAATTACACCAAATCTCTGAATCAAATGACTTTAAATCCATTCAAGTTTGGTTAGGTGGTCTCTTAAATCCAGAAGCCTATATCACTGCTACCCGTCAATCTGCAAGTCAACAAAATGGTTGGTCATTAGAAAATCTTAGATTACACGCCTCATCAATCGGTAAAACTGTTGAAAGTGGTGGTTTCAATGTTAAAGGTCTTGTATTAGAAGGTGCTGTTTGGGAAAGCGATGTATTAACTCCAACAAATACTCTTTCAACTCCAATTTCAATCGCTACTCTCACTTGGAAAGATAAAGATGATCCAGTCTTTGAAAACCCCTCATCAAAACTTTCAGTACCAGTATACCTCAATGAAACTAGAACTGAATTATTATTCTCTATTGATTTACCATATTCTCAATCAAACACTAAACAATCTTGGTATCAAAGAGCGGTTCAATTAGCTCATGAATCGATTTCTAAATTAACAAACAAAAAAAAAATTAATTATATAAAAATTCTAAATAAATAAAAAATTTCTAAATTAACAAACAAAAGAAAAAGATTATTTTTATAAATAAATACTAATGATAGGTAGATAAAAATTTATATAAATATAAAATTAAATAAAAAAAATTTAATAAAAAAAAAAAATTTGGTTCGTTTATTTAATTATATTGTGAAAATCTTTACATTTTATATTATTTTATTATTAATTTAAAAAATAAAATTATTGTAATAAATAAAATCCATTTCAGGATTTTATCCCGCCATTTATAATTATTTTTTTTTTTTTGATTTTTATTTCTTTTTTTTAAATTTTAATTTTTTTTTTTAATTTTTTTTCATTTTTTTTAATTTATATTACACCCAATTAATCGTTTATAGTGGTCAAATAAAGTAATATTACATGTATTTTTTTTTTTAATGTATAATAATAATTAATAATGATATAAAAAAAAAAATGACAACACAACATGTTAATCCATTTTCAAGAGTTTATGCATCAGCAGAAATAAATAATAACTATGATAATAATAATAATAACGATAATAATAACGATAATAACAATAATAGTAATAATTTTTTAAATGAATTCAACGATAAACTAAATAAAGATTTCAGTGACATATATCAGTTTGGTGATAGTGGGGGATACAATAATAATATATATGGTAGTAAAATAAATAATGGTAGAGGTTTTATCGACGATACCAAATTTATGGGAGGTGCAGGTGCAGGCGCAGGAGCTGGGGGCATTGACAACTATAGTTATGTTGGTAACTTAACCAATGACTCTAATTCAACTAAAAATCCATCAATGTTATTTGATTCAAGAGTTCATAATAGTAACACCAATCAAAACAGTAGTAACACCACCGACCAATCATTACATAATTCAAATATATTAGATAGACAAAATTCATTTTTAAACTCTTATAAAAACCAATCACAACAAAGACAACCACCGAAAAATTCACAAGATAATTTTATAAATAAACATATCAATAGACAACCACCACAACCACAAACTGCAACTATACAACCTCAACACTCTGATAATTTTAACAATAATAAAAATTTTGGAAACAGTCTTTCAATTAGCAATTTTGATGGTGACGAAAATATACTCGATAACGACCCATATCTCTCTTTTGATGTTACAAATCCAAGTAAGTTTTAAAATTTTTATATAATAAAATAAATAAAATGTCAAATATTAATGCCTCTTGTTTTTTTTATTAAAAAGATATAAATATAAACGAAGAGCAATATTATGACGAAAATCCTCAAGAAATTATCGATTCAAATGGTATAGAGGATAATCAACAACCACAAGAAGAACACATTAATGAACCATTGGTATATTATTCAGATGGCGAAGCTAGAACCCCTGGTTCATATTTTAAATCAAGATCTGCAAATATGTCTGGTGATCAATCAATTAATTTTGGAACATATAATGATAGTTTTTCAAATAGAATAAATTTAAATGGCAGTATGAATGGAGCTGGTGGTTACAATAATAGTAATAATTATAATCATAATCAAACAATAAATGAAAATGAAAGGTCAATAAATAATCAAATGCAATCACCACACAACAATTTACCAAACACAACTGTTAATACAAGTATTGGAACTGTGAATATACCCAATTACCCTTCACCTGTAGGATATACACCAGAAAGAGGATATTTAGATTATGAAACATATATTCGTTTAAAAGAAAGATATTTAAAAAATATTGATGACACTAATTTGCCAGCATCAACAACTACAACACCAAAAAATAATATTAGCAAAAATTTAAATCAAAGTGGGCTTCATAACAATAGAAACCCATCATTTTCGGTATCATCAATAGATTCAAAATACTATAATCAAAAAGAAACATCCCAATCAAAAACAATACAAGCACAAAAATCAACACCTACTACCTCGAACAAACAAAAAAATATTACAAATATGTTGGATTATCCAATGGTTATAATTGAAAAGAGCATCAATTTTGAAAGTTGTGAATTAGAATGGACAATTGTTAAAGATATTGTAATTACCAACCCACATTTAAAATCGGTAACTCTTTCAAATTTAAATATTTATGGTTTAGATAGAAATTGTTTCAATTTAAAAGTTTCAGAGAAATATCTTCCAGCTAATAAAAGCCATTCTATGATCATTATAGAACCATCATCATATATAACGATTGCCATTCAATACTCACCAACCACTGAGAACCTCCCAACATCAGCAGATAATGTGCATCACGCAAATTTAATTTTTACAAGTACAGCGACTGACTCTACTCATTTAGAAGATTTTTATACTACCGAGTTCTCTGTTAGACCCATTTCAAATTCTGGTATTGTTTGTAACTTTTCAATTCCTATAACTGGAACACCTTCATCAAATATTTTAAATGACTACAATTATTTATATAGTTATAATATTTGGGATATGGGCGAGTGTGATATTAATTCAACTTTAAATTCTAATCTATCAATTCATTTTCCTTGTAAGTATTTATATTGACAATTTTTTAAAAAAAATATAATACTAACATTTTATATTTTTAGATGGTAATAAATTAGCATTCGAATTTAGCGGTGAAGGTTTTACATTTGAAAAACAACCAAATGATAAAGTTGCATTAAAATTCTCAGTACCAAAGTCACAAGTATATAAAGGCGAAGTAACTATAATTGATAAAATAACTGGTCAAAAGAAAAATGTTCAATTATTAGCAACTATAAATAATAATCAACCACAACAACAACCACAACTACAACAAAAGAAATCACAACAACCAATAACTATTGATCCATCACCAAGCCAATCACCAAACTCCCTATTAATATCATCGATAAGGGATCAAAAGAATAATAATATTAATGATAAAGAAAGAGAAAAAGAGAGAATAGAAAAAGAAAAAGAAAGAGAAAAATTAGAAAGATATGAAAGAGATAGAATCGAAAATGAAAAAGAAAGAGAAAGAGAAAGAATAGAGAGAGAAATATCTGAAAGGGAGCAACAACAATATCAAATATCACCTAATAGAATCCCATTAAAAATTTCAAATTATGTCTTGGAGAACGGTATTAAGATGATTTACGAACAAAGAAAACAAATACAACCAACAGATACTTTACCAATTTTATGTATCTCTAATGAACCAATCGAAATTGAATGCTCATCAACACTTCCAGATGTTTTTGTTATTTCACCATCAACCCTTTTAGTTCAACCAAATTCAACCTTACCACTTCAAATTAGATATCAACCTCCAGCTGATGTACTATCACATCGTGCAGCACTTATTTTATCGGCTCCATCCATTACCAATGAAAAAATTAAAATTGATTTAGTTGGTGTTACTGAATCATCATCGTATATTCCACCATCACCACTTAAAGTATTTAGAGGGGACACAAGAAAAAAAATAAATCAACAACAGAGACCACAAGAAATTATAGAAGAGAATGAAGAGGAAGAACAAATACAATTTCCAATTCGACCACCATTATTCCAAAACTATGATAATAATGAAGATTATCAATTAGATAATTCAAGTGTAATTTTCCATCACAATGACGATTTAACCACATTATCAAAGAAACCATCACTTTATTGTAATAAGAAATTAGTCCATTTTGGTGGTGTAAGATTGGGTGAAACCAAAACTATAACAATCACTTTGACCAGCACATTACCGGTAGCTCTACATTTGAAGGCTGCATTCAAACAAAGTAAATTTGGTAAATTCTTTAGTGTATTAAGTGGTAATCAATTGTTAATATCACCAAATGATAAGGGAGAGGTTGAAATTCAATATGCACCTCTTTCAGTTGATTCACATGACAGTGTAATTGTATTCTCTTCATTAAATAATGACATCTCATTCTCTGTTCCAATTATAGGTTATGGTGGGAATGCTAAAATGGAAATTTCCTCATCTGCTCGTGACTTTAGAGACTCTACCAATAGTATTGGCACAATTCTATATGTTAATAAACATAGTAACGATAATAAATCACTTTATTGTACATTTAGTGTCAAAAATACTGGTCAACGTTCTGGTTTCATTAGAGCAATATCAGCATTCTCAAACTCTCGTTCATCTATTTCTCCAGATAGAGTTGTTATTGGTGTTGGTGAAACTCAAGAGTTTAGATTAAATATTCATCCATTAAGTGGCGATATTAATTCATTACTATTACAAGTTCAAGAATCTTTAAAGAACTCCACAATGTCTCACGGAAAAGTTAAACTCTATTATGGTGACGAGCTATCACGTCTTAGATGTATAAATTCAAAACTCTACCGTTTAGACAAATATAAATCTACTACAAATAGCAATGAAATCTCGTTTGAAGGTGACTTTTTGTTTGATTACAAATATAAAGATGACTATCAAGATGATTTAAATAAAAGAGAACTACTTATCACTGAAAATACAAATAGTAAAGATGCAAACGATTATGATTTAGATACAGAAGATGACAGCATTGCTTTCTACCAACACTTGTCAAATATAAAAATTTCACCTATAATTGGTAATCCTCCAATCAACTCAAATAAAAAAAACAATGTAAATTTTGAAAGAAATAACGATAACGGTGATGATGGTGAAGGTGATAATAATTTTACAAAAAATAATAATGGTGGTGGCGTTGGTTTTCATAGCAGTAGAGAAGGAAATTTTTCAGGGAGTTCTAACAACAATATAAACAATAGTATAAATAGAAATAATAGTAATAGAAGCAATAATAATCAAGACGAAGATATTAATAACATTATGGATATAAACAATTTAAATAATAACATAGATAATCTTTATTTAGCAAAAATGAATAATAACTTTAGTGAAATTAACAGCTTATCAAGTGAAAATAAAATTAAGAAAAGTAATATTTTAGATAATTTAAATGATAATAAGAAAAATATTTTTAAATCAAAGAGTATGTTCGATTTCGGAAATGATTTAAATCAACCATCTAAACAAAATTCCACTCCAACTAATAAACAAAAACAACAAGAGCAATTTTTAAAACAGCAAATTGAACAACATCAAGAGAAACTATTACAACAACAACTACACCAAGAACAACTATTAGAACAACAAAAACTTTTTCAAGAGAAACTTTTAGAACGACAACAACAGCAAGAAAAAATTTTACAACAACAAATTGAACAACAACAAGAGCAAATATTTAAACAACAACAGTTATTTCAACAACAACAACTTCAACAACAACAACAACAACAAATTCAAGAACAAGAACAACAGGAAATAATACAACAACAAAAAAAAAATGATGAAGTATATTCTAACCAACAAAAATCACAATATGGAACAATTAGCACAATGAACAAACCTTCTTTGTTTCAAGGAAAATCCTCTAAACCACCCATATCATCAAATTTTTCAAACCAAAGTCTTTTTTCGAATAATGGTATTAGAAATGGTGTTAATAACAATACAAAGAGTATGGTAAATAATAAATCACCATCTCCATCTCTTTCCCCAACTATTGAAATCGTTGATGAAGCCCATAAAGAACAAAGATACCAACAATCATATAATAATAAAAAAACATTAGGTGATGATAATAATTTGGGAAATTCTAGCTATAGAGACACTTTAATTGCATCGTATAATCCTTTTTTGCAACAACAACAACAACAACAAGAGGAAGAAGAAAAAGAGAACAACGAAAATAATTTTCCAAGACAAGAATATTCTGTATATAGCAATAAAAATATGGTTTCTCAATTTAATAATAATATTAATACACCACCTTTTAAAACCAATTCAGTTAATTTACCAAAACCATCGTTTTCAAATCAAAATTTTGAAGAGAACAGTGAAAATTCAGGCAAAAGTATATATCAAAATTTAAATAGTACTAAAGGTTTCAAAAGCATGGCCAGTGGTTTAAATACAAGTATGGGTAGTACAAATAATATCGGTATGACAAGTTTAGACAATATGAAGGGTATGAATGGTAATACTTTAGTCGAATCAGAAGGGTCCATCAAAATTCCAAATTTTAATGATACTATCAACCAGTCAGAGGATGATGAAGAATTTGACAAAACAAAAAACTTTGGTTTCTCAGATTTAGATATTGATTTGAATAGTACTTTTAATAATAATAAAACAACACCATCAAAATCAGTTTTATCCCCCAGAGGCTCGAAAAGACAACTAGATTCTCAATTTGGTATTTCACAACAACAACAATTGGATATCTCCGAATTCGAAAATAATACCACTCCATTAAAATCAAATAGTAACTTTACAACAAAACCAACTTCTTTTTTTGATAATTCAATTTCAAACGGTACAAATAATAGTACACTAAGACCATCATCAGATTCACTTTTTAATACAAATTTCAATACAACATCCACAAATACTTTAAATAATCCATTTAAATCACCCCAGTCATATTTTAATAATACTTTTACCAATAAAAAGCAACAACAACAACAATATTTCGATGATCAGCAAGTAGGTTCATATTTTGAAGATGATGAATTTAATGATAATCAAAAGGTAATAAACTATAATGAAACCATTAACCAAATGAACAATAATAATTTTGCAAATGAAATGGATAGAAAAGCAAAGCAATCATCTCAAGTCAAATTTAATTCTATGCCATTTCCAACAATGCACAATAGTACAAATCAAAATTTAAAATCAATTTTAAAAAAAACAAATCCACAAAACATAAACCACCAAACATCATTTTTCAATTCTCTTAAAAATTAAAATAATCTAAAAATGAAAGAAATTTAAATAAACACTTGTATATATTTTAAAAAAAAAATTCTTTAATTATATGATTCATTAATGAATTATTATATTTTTATTTTATGTTGTTTGTAATTATTTAACTATTAACAGTAATTTTGTCGCTGATTGGGAAACGTTCAGTTAAAATTTGGAAGAATTTGAAGTATGGAGCATCATTAAAGTTTGGATATTTATGACTGTCATATAATGGAGTGAATGTAGGATCTTGATTTTTAATCATTTCATATAAGTTTTGGTGGTTAACCAACTTGGCTTCTGAAACTTCTTCAACTTGGAGCTTTAATTTTTGCAAGTCAAATGGTTTTCCTAATGTTATTAAATATACATCCGAGATTTCATTATCAATAAATTTACCTATAAAGAATCATTATTAAAAAAAGGAATATTATATAATAATAAAAACAAATTTATTTACAAAATACACACCTTCATTTAAAATATTACATTGCAGAGTTGAAAATAATAGTTCTAATCTATTTTCTGAAAATAGTAAACCTAACTCCTCGGATAACTCTTTAACTGCAGTTTCTTTACTTCCCATACCAGCTTCAATGTGTCCTGCACATGACTTATCCCACATCGAAGGATATGAATCCTTGCTTGCTGTTCTCTTTTGAATTAAAACCATTCCATTTGAATCCACAATCCAAACATGCACTACTCTATGATATAACCCCTTTTGGTGAATCTCTGCTCTTGGTAAGCTATATCCCAATTGGTTACCTTTTTCATCACATACATCTATATACTCGACCATTTTAATTAATAATTTCTATTAGAAATAAAATGTAATTTCAAAAAAAAAAATTAAAAAAATTAAAAAAAAAATTAAAAAAATAAAAATTAATTAATTTGGTGAATAAAAAAAATTTTATTTAATTTTAATATAAATAAAAAGAAAAAAAAAAATTTTAAAATAATTAAAAAGAAAAAATAATATTATTTTTGATTTAAATTAAAAAAACCAATTATAATCATTTCGTAAGACAATTTTTTTTTGATTTAAAAAATCTTTTTGCAAGAAACAATTAAGAAAAAAAAATTAATTATTAATTATTGGCATTTCTATAAGCGAAGCATCTAGTTAAGTCGAAATCTATTGCTTTAAGGTTCCATTGGAAGTGTGATTTGTGAAATCTGGTGTTGTTGTAATCCATATTTATTTCTCCATCGGATTTGCGACCTTCTGGGATTTTATGTTATATTTTTATTTTAAAAGGGTGTTTCTTGATTTTGGATCTTTAATATTAAGTATATTATTGAATAGGTTGATATAGCTATAACCTGTAAGTTGAAGACATTGTTGGAATTCTGTTTTGGGTGTAAAGCTCTTGAGATTGTTTATTTCCGAATACCATTCTGCTAAAGAAAGAGGTTTGCCGTCTTTATTTTTAATGGATTTCAACCCGTCTAGTAGTCCTTTTTTAACTTTTATTTGTATCCAATCATTGTAGTTTTTAAGTAGGTAATCTGAAGTTATTGTTTTGGTTGATATTTGATGTTTCCAACTGTGTTGATTTTCTGATTCTATTTTGTTAGTTTCAATTTTATTGATTATTTGATTTATCATCCATAATCTTTGTGCTTTTTGTCTATTTTTGATATTCCAAAGATTCCAACCTCCTTGATCCATAGGATAATTTGCTCTTTTAGAGCTCATTTTAAAACCATTTGGATGATGCATGTTTTTTTGTTTTTGTTTGTGTTTTATACTTATATGAGTTTTACCGCAATGCATACAATTTGGGAACGGTAACGTCAATTCATTTAAAAGTTCATTTACATTACAGTGTGATTCGTTTGACCACTTTTTTTTTTTTTTTTTTTTTTTTTTTTTAAAAGTGAAGATAATAAAAAGCAAATGCTTTTAATTAATCAGTAAAATTTTATTTAATGTTTTTTTATAAAGTATTTAAAGAAAATATTCTAAACTGTTGATATTTGGTAAAGATTTGATGCTGATGAAGTATGCTCTTGCTATTTTTCTTTTGAATTTTCTATATTCTTCATTGATGTTGCTAATTGTTTGTGGTTGTTTAGCGTGTCTTTCCTTGATGTTTTTCAAACCTTTTAAGTATTCTTAAAGTAGCTAGTTTAGTCCATTTTGAGGTTAGATTCTTATAATCGAGTTCTTTTATTGTATTTTCTTGATCGTCATATAATTCTTTACATAACCAAATCCAAACATGATGAAATACCAGGGCTATGGCATTTCTATAAGCGAAACATCTAGTTAAGTCGAAATCTATTGCTTTATAGTTCCATTGGAAGTGTGATTTGTGGAATCTGGTGTTGTTGTAATCCATATTTATTTCTCCATCGGATTTGCGACCTTCTGGGATTTTGTATGTTTGACCACTTTGCTATAAATTAATCAGTAAAATTTTGGTATAGATGACCCACATTTTTTGTATTTCCCGAAGTAATGAATATAAATGATTTTAGTTTATTGAAGTTGATGAATTTC